TAGAGTTAAAACGGGTGGATCCAGGAATTTCATTTAAGGGTATGCTTCACATAAATATCGATATCCAAATTGATTATTTTTAGCATCAAGACAAGAAAATAGAAAATATTTCACAAATAATCTTAAGCTTATTTATATTAATAAAATTTGAAACTATCTGGAATTTTAATTCAAATGTAGAAAATAGAATAATTATTAAAATTTGTGCTACTTTAAAGTGCCAGATCTAGTAACATTGTAGCTATTTCATTTTCACATCACAGTTACTTTGTTTGCAAACAAGTGCAATTATTTTATCAGAAAAATCATGTAATTAAGAAAGAGCAAAATGTCTTTCTTAATTACATATAAAGTAGTAACTTCTTTTTGTATTTTTTTTATGCTATTATTCAGATAAAACAGCAATAATTTGTCACCATCTGAAATTGGGTCAAGCTCTGCTTAAATCATAGCAGTTAAATTGTGTGCAAATTGTACTTTGGTGGGCCAATGGTTAATTGACAGTCTATGTCATCCCATCAGTGATGAGTTGGCTTATCAGTCAGCCCGTGTTCATACACCTTTAGGCAATAGGATAAGTGCCACTAAGAACAGGTCACAATTATTCCAATAAGGGATTTGCAAATTTGGGATATCACCTGCTGGGGAAATTATAAGACAGTTTGCAATGCACCATGGGATTGAAGCTGGCACTTGCATTATTGCATAACACAATTGTAAATCTAGCTTTGTAGTTGTACTATGGCAAACTCTGTCCTACTTAGAATTTTAGGATTTTAGGGAGTGTATATACATCCCCCACCACCCTTGGATCCATCCCTGTAAAAGAAGTGCTTATTTTGGGATACCAAAGCAAATATTTTATTACAAACATTTGTGTTCTAATATCAGAATAGCTTCAGTTAGCATTCAAATATGAATAAAGTTTATGCATAATAAATGGAATTTATTCATACTTGAATGTTAGAACACAAATGTTTGTAATAAAATATTTGCAATGATATCCCAAAATAAGCACTTCTCATAACTCTTTTAGCTAGAAAAATATTTTACTAATAACTTTTGTTAATTTCTTTTTACCCTCAATTAGAAGATTCCATCTTATGTTTAAGTCTAAACCAACACACAGAATAAATTTGACTGACTATTTTTTCATATTCTTCTGGATTATAGCAACATTACACTGACTTTGTATAGCATTACTGAATGTTTATTTGTAAATTTGAAAAAGAATTTGAAAAAGTAACAAAGAAAATACAGTAGAGCGTCGTTTATCCAAAAGAATTCCAGTTGGCAGATTTAAATTTTTGCCAGTGCTGTGGCGCTGCAATCTTCGGCTATATCTTGGGCTACTCAAATATTTTATGTTTTTGATACTAAATTAACTTCTGAAGTATAATTTTTTATTGTTTTTATATTTTTCAATATATTTATTTTGTTTNTTTGTAACAGTTTCTTTTTTTTTCTTTTCATAATTTAACATTTTATGATAAACATTACAATGGTAAGCTAAACTCTTAATATGGTTTTTGTTTTATTGTTCTTACTTTTTGGCTCAGGCAGTGCCAGGCATATCTGCTATTATATATAATAAATTTTGGCTATCTCATGCAATTTCTAAATTAACAATTGTGACATTATTCTATCAGTATTTGTTATTTTGTTTGTTTAGTACATACACAACTTAGCAAACCTTGTCTCAACTTTTACTTATGCTTTATAACAATTACTTTTCTAACATATTCTTTTTATGTGATTACATTACTAATAAACTTTCCCATATCTTTTCATTGTATCTTCATGTAATGGAAAGATATGGGATAGTTTATTAGCAGTTGTAATAGTTATCAAAATAAAAAAAATAATAAAAAAAACAGCAAATTTATTAGTTTGATGATTTCCTTCATATTAATCATATTATTCACTTAGTTATACTTTAATATGCATTATGCCATGGTTAATAGGTAAGAATTACATAGATAACCAAACACATCAAAAATAAAGCAAAAAAATGCACTGAAAACAGACAAATGTAATACAAGAAATGCTTTCACAGCAAGAGCAAGATGCAATAGATGCCATTTATGCAGCAAGTGTATTTTTTTTCACTGCATGCTCAGTTTGAATGTAGAAGCATTGTCCGAACTCTAGAATGTTTGAGATACAAAGTACTATTGTTTAAGTTGAATTTTGATTTGTAATTAAAGTTTGAAGATATGCAATGTTTATATGTATTATAATTTATAATATTAAAAAAATGAAGCATATGTTCCATAATACTACAATATACAAAGTATAATAAAAAGTGAACTGAACTTTTGGAGCTGGTTTTCTTTTACAACACACAAAAAATCTTACACCAAAGTACCCTCAAAATAAGCTACACTTTTGTCAACTGGTTACAGTTTCTGGCAGAAAAGTCCTGGAAACCATTAATTTTTTTTATATCTAAAGATTTTTCTTGCTGTATATTCTACATCTGATGATGATTAAAACCTGTAACCCTTCAACTTCTCATTCATTTTAGGGAACAGATAAAGCACTACAGTGGTGAGATCATGGAAGTAAGATGATTGGGAAGTTATTCTTATATCCTTCTTGATCAAATATTCAATAGCCAGGAATGATGAATATATAGGGGATATTTTCATAGTAAACACCTATCTGATCAAGAAGAGCATAACAATGCTTCCCATCTCATTCTCCTAATATGTCTCTGTAGTATTTTTTGTATTTTGTACGACGAAAGAGAAATTGAAGGGTTATAGGTTCCAATCACCAGCAGAGATGAAAGATACAGCAACAAAAATCCTTACATATCACAAAAAAATGGCTTCCGGAACTGCTTTGATAAGTTGTTATTGTTTCTGGCAGAAGTGTATAGATTTAAGAAGAAATTACTTTGAAAATAGCATGATGCAAGATTTTCTGTATGTTGTATATTAAAACCAGCACCAAAAGTTCAATTCAATTTAGATTCTACCTTGTATACATTTAACAGATCAGTTTTACTTATTATATAGTATAAGTGTCTCTGTCATTCTTCGAATTGAATGAAAATTGAATCATTGCACACATTTGAAAGTATTTAAAATAGCTCAGCACTTGGAACAATTAATTTAAAGACTGTAAAGTACATAAGAAAATAAAGTGGATGTAGAAAAGTTCAGTGTCTAGTGTCAACATCAACACTTAATGGTGTCGTCTCAAAATATAACATAAAAAAAGACACAGTTTCAACACAGAGAAGATTGATATATAAAAGTTAAATTGTTTTATTCTTTATAAAAATTGTTATTATCAGTGATCCAAACTTTCTGTATTTTTGATGTCAGCAAATCTTATGCTAATTATGAAGTCTCTATACCACAGTCTCTCTCTTATTTATTTTGTATAAATTTTAATAATTACAAAACTCACTGGAAAATATACACAAATATATTTTTAATAAATTTCAGAAAATTTTAGAATTTTTATTTCTAAAAAGTATTAAATTTCAATTACATTTCTGTTTTTTAAATGAATTGATCAGAGAAATAAACATCCAATGTTATATCAAATACTGAATTTTTAATAAAAGAAAAGAAAAAAAATGTAAATTTGAATCTACATCAAATGATGTTTATGATAAAAATGACTTTTCAGTGTAAATATTGCAACGAAACAGAACAATTTACAAATTATGCATTGACTTTAAGAAGGAAACAAATTTAAATACAGTAAAACAGAAAAAAATTCTTCAAAATGAAGTGATTTTCTATGTTAAATCTTACTATAAGTCAGAAACCTGACAAATGCAGAAACATAAAAGAGTTTGTGTACAAAGAACATAAGTTAACCTGGATAATGCAGAAAATTAAGATTCCACTTGTAAAGAAATAAGTAAGTTGTCTCCATACTCTGCAGTATGGAGACAATTTACTATTTCTATTCCAAGAACAATTTCAAACCATGTTAAAGAAACAAAGGTTATATGACAAAGGGATATTTGGACACAAGGTCTTTGGAATTAAGCAGGGGCAGAACCAAATAAATACCTTCAGAATTGAGAATTATCAACAATCAAGTGAATTTCTGCAAATCAAGTTCTTAAGGACAAGCAATAAATGTAATTAGTAAAAACAATGTGAATATATTAATAAAGTTTTTACTTACACTTTACACCAAAATTTCAAATGTGAATCATGGTAACACTGTGTGCCAATTTGCCTTGTTGGAATAGTTAGTAACTAACTAGTACTAAGTATTCAAAAACAAGCTAACTAACATGTTGATAATTANATTTTACGTTTTTGATACTAAATTAACTTCTGAAGTATAATTTTTTATTGTTTTTATATTTTTCAATATATTTATTTTGTTTATACAAAACAAAAAAATAATTTTTAACGATACAATAGTCTTTGTTAGGCTTAACATCGACAAAAATTCAATGCGAAGTGACACGCAACGGAGAAAAATTTCAACATGGGATAGGTTAATATATGTTTTGGTACATAATCGGTTATCCGAAATATCGATTTTCTGAACAACCCCAGTCCCCAATTGATTTGGATAAACGACGCTCTACTGTATTTGAAAATAATTGTTTTCTAATTAAAACAGATGACAATAAATAATTTCAAAAAAATTGGTAGCTAAAATTATTTTTAAATATTTGTTGTTATATAAAAATCAAATATTTTATATGATAAATGTAAAAAAAATTTCATTTGAAACAAATTAAGCTTTTAATTACATTCTGAAAATTCATCCAAATAAAATGTAAAATGGTGGTTAAGCTTGTTTGTCACAATTGTATTTTTATTATTGATTATGTACAAGATATGATTAGTATCAAAATTACATTGAATTTAATTAATGAAAATTGACAAAACTTGTCTGAATATCATCAAACTGTGCTTATCAAATATTTCTATAATGCTATAATTTAAATAATCCATCCTGTAATGCATACAATTTGAATGGCCCGAATAAATAATTAAATTTAAATAAATCACCTGTAGCACCGAGTAATGATGGTGAAAATGTTGATAAGTCATGAGGTCTTGGTAATGATGAAAAAAGGTGATTGGGAGGTCGAAGAAGATCGGTAGTAGCTTTGGCAGCTGCAGCAGCAGCTGCTGCAGCCGCTGCATTTGGTGCTCCAGAAGCCTTGTGAGCCTCCGCTTGTTGTTTTTGTTGATGATGGTAGATTTCCCAGGCTATTCTAACATGCATTGCACACCATTTTCCTGATTTCTGAAAATAAAATTATAAATATTGATTAAGTATATTTACTTAACAGTAATAACAAAATTAATTTTAAGTAGTGATAAAACTATGTTTTAATTTCTTGTAGGAATTTTCCTTCATTCCTTCATAGTTACATATTTATATCTCAGACAATGGAAAGAAAATGTAATTCATTTTCAATAAATCACTTTCATTTTGTACAATACATATCATTTAGGGTAGTCATTCCACACAGTCTATGATTTTTATGCATTAATACGAGGGGGGAAATAATTATTTTACTGCTAATCTATCAATCATATAGTTAAGATACCGAATAACCCCAAGACACACATTTTAAAATATCTAGCTAATTATATATCTTTTAGCACAAAATTAACAGACTTTCTATCTTCACACTTCATTTTTGGTTATGATATAATAATAATAATAATAATAATAAATTGAACACATGTCACATTGTTGGGAAGTTTTTAGATGTTGACACACACTAATAACACAGTTTAATGTTACACTTATTAACTATGCTTTGACTTCAGTCTGACATAGCACTTGATAACAGTATCAACTGAGCATGACATTCACGACATAATAATAATTATTATAATTACCTTTAGTTTTTGCTTAACTATCTGACAGTACATAAAAAATAAAAGTTTGACTAAAGGTTCACACATATACATATTTTTCAAGTTTATTACTTTCTCTATAAATATTATGAATTTCTTCACAAATGTTTTGTCTCAATATATAATATATTATACTTTAGTGTTTTTTTAATTTTGGAAAAGCATTTATATCACAATTCCTTAAATTTTCATTAATTGTTTCTTTTATATTGCTATGGGTATAATTTATGCATATAGTATATATGATGCTGTTCTAATTTGTTGCGTAAAGTAATGTATTGTACATATCTGGACATAAGTTGATCCATAATTTTGAACTAAACTCTTGAGAATAGTCCAGTATCTGCTATAAAAATTGATCCCAAACATACAGTAGGCTAGAACTGAAATGTGGATACAATATATAGTAATCTATGGCTTTTGCCATAACTTACCTATTTACCATCATTTTCATCCAGACACATTTGAGACTATATCACTTTTATAAAAATATTAACTGTAATACCTTATCAATGACAGCTTTCATTATATATTACACAACTAATACAAAAAGGGATGAGGACAACATATTACAAAGGACCTAACTGACTGCTAAAAATTTTCAGTAAGTTGTCTTGTAAAAACTGTATTGTACACTAGACATATTAAAAACAATCAACACTTCCAATAAAATGCTGGTAATTTGCACAGCATAGCACCATGATAATATTGTTACATACTCTAACTTATTTGATATCAGAATACTATAGTATGCCTTTTCTTGTGATCTGTTATGTGCAAAGATGTTTTACAATATTCTGCTTTTATTTGTTTTCACTGATGATGTAAACAAGCTGCCAATACTATGGATCTGTTACACCCCTGGCACATCATATCATATACTGTCCTCTATGTTAAATAAGTTCACTAAAGCCAAGTTTTTATTGGAAATATTTGTAGCAGACTTCTGGAGTTATGATAAAATGCACAGTGATTGATAAATGCAATGTTTCACTAATTTATCATTCTATGGAAAGGTTTTCATTTTATACCCATTTTATAAATTGAACCCCAATTTAAAAAATTAATTTTTACATATACAGTAGAGCATCAATTATCTGAATGTTGATCAACCAAAATGTCAATTAACTGAAAGCTTTCCAGTCGGCAAATTTCAATTTCTGCTAGTGCTGTGATGCTGCAATCTTTTGCTATGTCTTGAGCTACTCCAATATTATTTTTGTTGGTGTGTGTGTTTTAGCTGGCAGCACTGGCATGACCATGAGAGGGTACTTAAGGACGTGCCTGGATTTGAACAAATTTCAACATGGGATAGGTTAATATATTTTTTTTGTACATAATTGGTTATCTGAAAAATCGATTTTTCAAACAACCCCAGTCCCCAATTGATTTGGATAATCAATACTCTACTGTATATATGTATGTTTTGCATTCAATTTTAATTTAATGATAATGAGAAGAAGTTGGAAGTCAAAAATGTTAAATTAAAAAATTTTTGCTGATTTAATATATTATTTTTCAAAGTATCACTAAATTACTTACAAATAAAATGAACTTTAACAGAGGAAAGTAAATACAAAAGCATCTTAGAGCTTTTGAAATAATCTTTAAAGATGTTACTAAAAAGTACAGTGAATTGAACACACAGGCAAGACGACAAAATGAATCGATTTTTACACTTGTAGTTGTAAGAACAACAACACAGTATACAAAATATTAAACAAATCATTAAATAACTCATACAAAAATATATTATATAGCATATTAAAAAATAAAACAGAAATTATTAGATAGTCATGACTTGGAAAAAGTAGTCTATACACAAACCTTTGTAGAAAATGTTTTAAGAGGATAATAGTGATTCATTTCCATGTGTTTGAATTCAACAAAAGACACAATTTGAATTTGCAATACATTACATTTTTTGGAATATACTGTGCAAAATGCTAGGTTTTGTTTTCTACAGTGTAGTCTTGCAGCAAAATTCAAATGTAGGATTGAAAAGAGGATTTAAGTATGGAGGCAGTTCATGAGAATCCAATTTGGAAAAACTTTTGAGAATTACTATGAAGACACTTCCTGCAGGAATTTTTGTTTAGTTTTTGCATAAAGCATTTACAGACTGTGTTTGTTTGAGAACTGTATGTGATTTGTAAACTAAACTGTTATTCTGTTACTTTATATATTGGTCAGTAATTTACAGTCTTGTTTTCAAGTCTGAAGTTGTTTCGTGGAAAAACTGTTAGACCAACAGACGATTAGACAAATCACAGAATTAAAGACTATTCGAAATCTAGGATTAGAAACTTTGCATTCCAACAATTTAATACTAGACATGATTAATGTCTAATATTAAATCACATTGTATAAATCACAAAAGCTGCTGCCGATTTTCTTTGGAAATGGAAGACAAGAGGAAATTAACACAGAAAATATCATTTTGAATTTAACTGCATGGCAGAGAGAGACTGTTGGGTCTTTACTGTTAGCAACATTTATGCCACTAGCATAAATTCACACGGTCTTGACTGTATAAATTTTCTTCTTTTCTTTTATATGCACTATAGGTCCTGAATCAATCCAAAGATAAGGATGCTCACTATCTAGGGCACTCTGCACTACCTAATGTCATCATAAATACTGTTTTAAAATTACTGAATAAATACTGTTTTATTCAAGAAAGTAAAAGAATTTTACAGATATTATGAATACATAGCACCAATTACTTTTCAAAATGGTTTCCTTTGGTCTTTGCATAATTCTTCAGTCTAAGTAGCCACTCATCAATGGCATTATGCAGGGTCTCCACAGGAATAGCTGTTACTACATGCACCAAAGAGCATTTCATACTCTCAATACTGGGGTCCCTTTCTGTAGACCTTATCCTCCAGCACCAACCATAGTTCAACAGGTTTAGATTGGTCTTTTGGAAGCCAATTATCTAGAGAAATGCTCTGGTTCATCTGTAGCCACTCCTGGGTTGACTTGGTCTTGTGGACAGGTACAAAATCCTGTTGGAAGCTCCATTGTTGGTGTTTGAATAGGCTTTCACTTAAATTCTTGACCACTGGTTCAAAAACTGTTTTCTGATAAACTTTGACAATGTTTTTACTCTCTTCTCACAGTGGTATCCTCATAGGAGACTTCTTACTAAACCATAACAGAAGCAGAAGCCATCATGATCCTTGGTACTTTCTCCTGAGCTTTTTATGAACTTGATGCCTATACCCTGTCATTTTAGAAGTTGACAGCTTTCCTTCAAAGTGAAAAGAATCTTTTTATGACAATTTCTTGCACAGCACTGTATCAAATGTTTTGCTTTTACTACCTGCTGCTGCTTCAGTTGTGGGGTGAAAAAGTGATCTGTATGTTGCTGATAAGCTCTAAACTCTAGGTCATGCTGCTGCACACAACATTGACATGCTTAAAATATTCAGCTCACAAGCCATCACTGATTATTTTCTGGTGATTTTTGTCAAATATACATTCTAAGATTGGACATCATCTGTACATGGATAGAGAGAACAGTAGATGAATGCAGACAAATATGGCAAGAACTATATTACTTGACACCTAACACAGGGTAAACACAAAAACTTGTAGGATTTTACAAATCAATTATAAAAGCAAGTCTTATGAAAAAGATACATACATAGATTGTTTGGAAAAGTTTTGTCCTGAATATTTTCTATTAGTTGTAGCAAAATCAATCAAAAGAATATGAAAAATAAGAGGAGTAATGTCCAAGTCAAATTCCTGCTTCTGATACTTTCTGAGCAAACAGTAAGAAAATATAGAAAATGGCAATGTGAATGAAAATCAAATACAGTCGACCCCCCTATAATTACGGTCCCTATAGTTACGATTCCTATAAAACTACGAAAAAATTGTGACCGGTATCCGTAAAAAACAGTAAAAATTCCCTATAATTACCTCAAACGTCATCGGGCAGCCGAACTACTTTCCCGCCGTCCGTAGCGCCACGCTACGGAGAGATTTCTATCGTCTGGACAGTATTATATAAATTATATATAAATTAGGTACTGTACATATAATTATATATTAATTATATATAAATTAGGTACTGTATATATAATTATATATTAACTTATTGTAACTTTGTTATAATTAAATATATAATTTCCGCCGTCTAGCGTGGCGCCACGCTACGGAGATTTTTACGCTAACTATCGTCTGTCAGTATGTAAATTAGGTACCGTAAGTCTAATACAGTACTGTAATTTTATACATTTCTTGTGAAAGAAACATTTCTTATTCAACGGCGATTAAAATTATTTATATTAATGATGTCTCCGAAGTTCTACGAAGTTTTCACAGAAAAATAAGTTGTTAGAAATCGGCCGCTCTTTGCTGAGC